TTCATTTACAGCTAAACCCTATAGGACAGTATTTGCAAACGTGTGATATCATAGAGACTACGACGAATAGAGCCTGTCACAACCTTCTTTGGCTTTCATAGTGCCTTTTTCCTCCTGCCTCTTATAATTTCTTTCTTGTTGATGTGGTGGAAAATCCTTTCTTATTTTCGGCTCCTCAGGGACGCAGGAGCCTGGGGTATGTGGTGTCTCCACTAAAATCACCCCGATGACCGTTTTCAGCCTCATTATTCTGAGGATGTTTCAGACCACGTTATTTCAGGTCCTATCCCGTGGGAAGCGGTGGATTCCTTCCCGCCTATCGGCCCAATAAACAATGTTGCGGCCCGATCGCATTTTTTTAGGACCAGACCGTGATCCTATCGCCGCAGTAGTTAATATGCTACCAGGGTTCAAACTCTCTGGCGGCCTACGGCCCCGTCGATGGCTGATATCGCCGCCGACGTCTTTTATAAATACCTACCTTTAATAGATACGAAACACGTGAGTTAATATGTATGACAAGGTACTTGGTTTACTTTGATAGAATAATTATTCATAGAAATAGTCGGCTTTCAAATAAGTCATTACTTGATTACTAGTGAAATTAGATTTACAAGGTTGTATTATGTACAACATTGTATAAAATATCCTAGTATAAATATAATATTGAACAAAACTGTTTTCCTAGCTGTTTTAATGTCTTATACTGCATACTTGTTCTCTAAGTCCACCAAACATACAATATGGACTTTTTTCGCAGTTGGTAATAGATTTTTTAATTTGGAGTAAACAAGCAAGCAGGTCATCTTAAGTCTCTCTCCCTAGAATCAGAGGGAGAGGCAGTTTGGGCTACGGTAATCAATGAAAGAATTGTTTGATACCGCTTTTCTGTGCAGCTTTGGTATCACCTCTGTCGAGCCTGCCCAGTTGTGTCTGTAGTTCTGGGTCTTCAGAGCGATGGTGTTAGCTCAGTCAGTGATTGCCAATACTTAGAAATTAAATGTTCATTAAATGTTTAATAAATTACTATTAAATGTTTATTATTAATAATGTTGACTGTACAGATAAGACAGAGTAATAAGGGAATGATTGTTTTAAATCAATTAATTTAAGGAAAGGTATGAATAACTTTTATTCAAATCGATTAGATTAATGTGATCATTTTTCAAAAACGTAATTAAACTGATTTGGTAGAGTAACATTTTTTAAATGATGAAAAAAATCATAACCAATGATGCTCTTGATCTAGGTTTAGTTGTTGACAGCAATGACAACTCGTTTGTGACAGCCTGCTGTCATTGGTATCGACTTCAGTACGGTCTATACGCAAACTACAAACTGAAATAACTTTTGAATGGAAAGTTCTAGAAATCTGATAAATAAAACTGTAATTGTGGATGATATTACCAGCCAAATAAATACAACAAAAATCCCCACCGTGAGATACGCAAGGCGGTAAAAAAATCCCGTAAATGCCTGCCATTGTCCTTTGCTAGACATAACTCTTTCAATGTGAAACTAGGGGAGAAAAAACACAGTACAATAACTTTGATTTAATATTATAATAATTAAAACACCCACGTAAAAATTAACATATTTATAACTGAAGTTTGAGGTAACGACAACAAGAAATTTTAACATATAGTAAAAGTTATAACGACTAACTGATTAAAGTATCAACAGAGTATTCATAGAGTGTTAAGCTTTGTGTCTATAAAAGCCGCACTTTAAGCCAATAATCTACTTTGGTTAACTGAGAAATCCTCTACACTCAAAATACATTAATAAGTATTTTATATAACAGCAAATGCGACATATTTTATTCATTAAACTTCAAATATGACGGGCTTCAAACGGATTTCAAAAAAGACGGGTGGTTAGTGACCCTGAATGCTAAAAAGGAGGTCGTGGGTTCGATTCCCACCCAGAATAAATATTTGCGTGATGAGCACGATCGTTTTTTCTGTGTCTAGGTGTAAAGTATCTATAATATGTATGTATTTAGAAATATATAAGTATGTTTATCAGCAGTCTGGTTACCATAACACAGGCTCTGCCTAGTTTGGGATCAAACAGCCATGTGTGAGATGTGTGAGGTTATTATTATTGTTATTCATATGAAAGTAAAATACGAGAGGGGGGGGAGGGGTCAAAACTAAGGAATAAAACGTAAATTATTTTCCTTCTCAATGTATTCTCCATTAACTCTGATATATTAATTAGATCTATCAATTAACTTATATATACTTTCGAAAACATGTTTTTTCTTTATCGTCGAAATTGTGCTCTTCACCTCTTCATCATTAGAAATATCTTTCCTCGAAGTTCTTTTCTTTTTGGGAACAGATAATAATCGCATTAGGCTAAATCTGAGCTACAAGATTTCGAAGCCCACTCTTTTTACAGCAGCCACCCGAACCTTGCGACTTGTCGTGCAGAAGAGCACCCGTTTGGTCAATTTTCCGTTCCCTTTCTCCGTCACAGCATCTCGCAGACGTCTCGTCAAAACTCCGCGAACTTTGTGACCCACCTACGTAGTCTAGTCACCTACATTAATTTAAAGATTTGTTATGCAAGAGGCATAGTAATTTAGAAAGAAAGAATTTAGAAGAAACTGAGGACCATAGGCAACCCACTACCTTTAGCTCTGCGTTAGGATCCCTACACATCAGACCAAGATATAGATGTGTTAACATGTAATCAGCAATGTGTTGATGCGCTTATCATATTTTAATGGCGGACAACGCGCTCGTGACTGTGTGTTGCAGACGTTCTTGGGCGGTAAAAGTCGCGTTCCATCAGTTAACCTATATGCTCGTTAACCTATATGCTCGTAAGAATTGAGAACCATTTTTTTTTTCTGTGTGACGACGATTGCCTATCTTTAACTGAAGATTAATTAAAGGGCTTTCGTGATATTAAAAAAAAACAAATTGAGCTGTTAGACTTTTAAATACTCGCAGAATTAAAATTATACTTGAATTTATTGACGACCGGGTGGCATAGTGGTTTGTGTAACGGACTGCTATTCCAAAGGTCGCGGGTTCGATTCCCGCTTAAGTCAAACATTTGTGTGCATGAACATTTAATGTTTGATTTGGTCTGGGTGTTTCTATGTATAATATGTATGTATTTACAAAAAAAAAGTATATATGTCTTTATATCAGTTGTCTAGTACCCATAGTACAAGCTCTGCTTAGTTTGGGACTAGATGGCGTTGTGTGAATGTAGTAAAATATATTATATTATATTGCCACCACAGAGCATATTTTGGTCCAGGTATTATAAATTTAGTAAAAGGATATTCACTAGGTCCTAATTTTAATAAATAAGTAGAATTCTCAAGGTACAGCGTGAAATCACAATGTAAGTACTCATAAAGAGACGTGTTCTGTCTAAAAAGTTTGAATGTAAAAGTTGTAAGCAAAATATTCCCTTTATTAGTTTAATAAAGCCTTAAACGCAATACATTTCTACTAAGTTTATACTTTAACACAGATACAGTTTTTATGCAAAAAGTTTAAAATAAACTTACAACATGAATTTTGCTTCACTATAATAACTTCACAATTCTCAAACATGGCCGTCTGATCTCAAACTTGGCAGCTATGGTAATCAGATAAATGATAAATATACTTAAATACGTCTAAATCCATACGTATTATATAACACAGAACAAATGATTATGCTCATCACAGAATTATTTGTCCTAGTGAGAGTGGAACTCTCTTACTAAACACCACATTAAAAGATCAGTTTATCTATGTGTTAATAAATAATTTGCGCTTTTCAAGACACTTTTTGTCTCGCACAATCAATCCGTGGAACAAATTATCGTCTGCGGTATTTCCGAAGAACCGATACGACCTTGAAACTTTCAAGAAAATAGCGTACTCCTTTCTAAAAGGCTGGCAACGCGTTTGCGACTGCTGAGTTGCAGGTGTTCATGGGTAGCGGTCACTTTTCATCAGGTGCTCTGCTCGTTTGCCCCATCTTCCTTAAAAAATAATAAGAAAAATGAATCCACTGACTTCAGCACGCCTACTTCGTAATAAACTGTACTCTTAACTCCTTCATATTTTTACCCTTTTTTTTTCCGTGCGGAAATCCCCTCCGATACCACCTATCGGTGGCATGTCGGACACGAACCGACTAAAACCGCACGCCGTCTCGGGTACTAATAGCCGGGAACCAGGTATACCCTAGAAAGGAAGTCCCTGGTGCCCCGACATACCTCGGGCCATCTACAACAACAGGTAGACGACCCCCCCTCCCCGTGTGGGAACCTCATGTTCCCTCTGCTCCCTGGAAGCGAGCGCGCTTCGAAACGCGCTCGCTGCCACCCCGGCCTGCTTCTGCTAGGGTGACAGATGGCCTCACCTGTCACCCCCAGGCCTGCGCTTATGGAGGTCGTTCTGCGACCTCCGGCGCCTGAGTCGCCTGCGGTACCTGGCCCGTTCCCGGGCCTGGCGGCCTCCTAAACCTCTCCCGGTCCGCTCCTTCGCGAGCATAACTTGCTCGCAAAAGGAGACGGCATCATATTTTTACCCTAGAGGTTGGTTTTTACTTTAAATTTAAATGACACTAAAATTTAAATGACCTTTTCAAACAAAAAAAAAACAATGTTTTTGAAATTGTGTCATAAATGATGGAGTTCAGAGGTGTGGAGTTATTATTATTTATTCATCATCATCATCATGATCAGCCGAAAGACATGCACTGCTGTAAAAAAATATATTATTGAATAAATATTAAGAATTTATCTAAACAGTATACGAGTATTTACAGGTATGTGTTAATTAAAAATGTATTAAAACTTTCGATTGATTTTATTATCGATATTATGACTGTAACAATGCACTACAATTCATAAAAGCAAACCAGTTACTCTAAACAGCAATCAATTTAGTTAAAAAAGTAACAAAATTTGAAATGGTTACTCGAATTTATTTTAGACTGATCAAATAATGAAGTAATCAACTATTTCTCGTTTCGACAAATTACCGAAAAATCCTGAAACTCTCTTCTATACCTTTGACTACACCGTCTAAGTACTCTTTAAACTTAGAAAACATGCTGTCGAGAATTAGCGCTAAAATATTGTATTCGTAAATTTTCTTGTCATGACCGAGGTAAAGTAAAACTGTGCCTTCAAGGGAATAGGCAGTTGGCCTCAGAGTAGCATTTAAATTTGTTAGTTTACTTGTACCATTTGCAAAAACGATGTAAACGGTGTGATCAACGACTACTGGGACACCATTAGTTAGAGGAAGTGGTGGTCTTATAAGTTTAACATAGGTCATAGTCTCTGGTAAACCTTCAATTTTTTTAGTACCATTGGGACTGAAAACGTTGACATTATTATTTTTTACATAGTACAAATTATTTTCATAATCCAAAACAATTTGTTCTGGATTTACTATGTCCTCGACTTTGTCTATTTTCATTCCTTGATCAGTGACTTGGTAGACAACGTGATCTTTGGTCAATATATAAATTATATCACTGCCATTTACTTTCGCAATACCAATCAAGTCATCTGTGACAATTCCATATTTCTCAGCTGTGTTATTTTTCGGATTATACGTATAAATACCATCTTCAGCTGCAATATATACTTCGCTTATGCCATCCATAGCAGTAGCAGCATCTCTTCCGTGGTCAAGTAGCTTCGTTACTTCTCCATTTTTGCGAATATAAAAACCTTTGTCTTCTTTATGTCCCTTGGTAAAATCTGCTAAGGCAAAAAATATGTATGGTTTTTCATTTGATTCTTTATTTTCGTTTTTATTATTGAGGCTGTTGATAGGTAAGAGTATATTAGCGATATCATATTCTCCTCTGTATATCACATATTTTTCGGGTAGGGTTTCGCTTTTACCAAATGATGTTAGTAGATTATTTTCAGTAGGAGCCGAAGACACCACTCCTATTAGAAGAGTCACCGTGATTAAACTAAATATTTTCATTTTGGGACCTGAAAATTACAGAGATAATAATATTAGTTTTGATATATAACATAAATTTTGATATAAATAATTTATGGTAAACAAATATTACAATATGTGGACAAAAAATGCTAGTTTTAGACTCGTCTGGCATTATGTCCGTTCTGTCATTGGGGAGGCTTTAATTTGTTTCTTTTTCATTGTTTTACTTAAAGAGCGTACTTCTTCCTAAAAGGCCGGAAACGCTTTTGTGGCTCCTGAGTTGCAGACGTTCATGGGCGGTGATGGACACACAATGGCTGTCTTCTCTAACATAAAAAAGGTAGAGATTTATTCTTGATTCTCTTTTTAGTTTTTAAATAATCATTATTAATTATTATTTGGGTCGACCTGATACCACGGCCTCGCAGAAAATCGGTGAAATTCAGCTGACCTGTCCGCTTGCTTACAACACTCATGTGTTTACATATATACACATACATTTCGTCAACAAATGATAAGCATGCTTCGGAGAATGTTATCTTATTTGTGTTAATGATACCAAGTGACTTGTGAACTCCAAATAGAGTCAACAATAATCTGTTTAAATTATCACACCTACCTACCTAATGATATACTATGAGTACCTTCACAGAATTAGCATCCATTTAAAGATGTATGAATAAAAATGTAGTACAATTTTTTCCTGTCTTTTATTCGTTTTTATTAGTATTCTTTATTAGCGCCTACGGGCTTGATTGCAATTAAATCAAAATAAAACAACGCTTTTGTAACTTAGTCGGAGCTAAACAATAATTAACTAAATTAAGGCTAAATTTCTAATAGGTAAGTACTATTTCCCTCCGTCACTATCTCCCTCTCAAATGTTTTTTGGTCTTAATCAACTTTGTATTAACTATAATATTATAATTTCATGTTTATTTACCTATCATGAATAAAATTACAGGAATCACTTTTTTTTTATTTAAGTCACAAATTTATAAAAAATACTATCGACTGCACGGATGGCGTAGTGGTTTAAGCGGTCGCCAAGCCACTTACTAATACGCTGAGTGAGGGTTGTGGGTCCGATCCCCACATGGGATGACACTTTGTGTGATTTTTTCATGGGACTAATCCCACCCACACGCCCACCACTGTAACTCCTGTACACCAGGATCCACAGCAGTGACCCACGAACACACCGAGTTATGACACTCGGGAAGTCCCAGGAAGAAATTAAACTGTCTTGGAACCCGCAAAGAAATTAATCAGAAGAAAATTGGAGGAGTTGGAAATACAGTAAATCCACTTCCCTCCTTAGCAAAGCGGGAGACAAAATGAAGTAAAATGGGCATACACCCTTTTAAACAGGGAAGCACCACGGCCACAAATATTACGGGTCCTACGTGAGCTATACTTGATTTCTATAATATGTATGGCAGAATCGCCTAAACGCACGGAAATTCACCCTAGTTGACACAAGATCCCCATAGTATACCGCCCCAGATGTCACCTGCAAGCTATTCAGCATTATATTACGTTTATTATACCAAAGACTACATTCCCAGAGGATATGATGAGCAGACTGTTCATAGTGAGAGTTAGGTGTTGAGCATTGACACAATGGTGATTCGACTAATTTAAATGAATAAAGCTTGTGTTATCCAAAAAATATTGTTCTGAGTCTGGGTGTTCTTAGTATTTGTTTCATGTATGTTTGTTAAGTGCCCCACGACGCAGGATACATTCCTAATGCGGGAGTTGTCTTTATTTAATAAATCAACAAAACTAGTAAATAGACTGTAGTAGCATTCGTAAATAAAAAAATATATAATTAATAATGCGATAAAGATTTTATTGACATAAATAAACAATAGAAGATGTGGTGTTAGAACTTATATAGAATTGTATACACATTTCCTCACAACTGTACTTCTTTAAAAAAAGGGGGGTAATCAAGAAACTTACTTATTAAGGATTATCGTGAAGTAAAATATACATGCAAATGATGCAGATATGCATGGAAATGCATATTATATTTACGCATATAAATATTAATACACAACGTGAAACAAACCTGCGAATTTACCTCCGTGACTAAAAGATTGAAGTTCAAAAATTTTAGTTTTGTGGGGCAAACAAGTTTTTTTTAATGGAATAGGGGGCAAGCGAGCAGACCTGTCATCTGATGGAAAGCGACTACCGCCGCCCATGAACGCCTGCAACTCAGGAGTCACAAGCGCGTTGCCAGCCTTTGAGGAAGGAGTACGCTCTTTTCTTGAAGGTTTGAAGGTCGTAAGTAAATGGGTGACTTGATAATAAGCGAGTATCATTGTCCGTGGACCCCTGCAACTGAGGAGTCACAAATAGGCCCCCTAACCTCCTTAACTAGTAACTCCTTAAAAAGTTCCTGGCATCACTCCGGTCAAGCCGGTCCATTTATGTTAAATCATGGCACTCCCAAAGTTTATACACTGTTTTGTTATAATTAATTAGTAAAATAATATAACTAAGATGAAACTAAGACTTACTTGGATACGTGTTCACTCAGATATCACTTTGAATAAACTAAACTGACCTGACTATTTATAAATAACTATTTTCGTATCAATGTTAGGAATTGATTATTCGAATATTATTTAATGTGGACGACTAAAGATGTAGTGCTCATTATATATGTAATTTTTGCTGTTTTTATCCTTATTTATATAATATTTTTGGTATTTACAAGAAGTAATGTTTGTCAAAGTTCAGAATTTAATCACTTCATTGTATTAATTGTATATTGTTGCTAAATAAGTTTCTTATTAACAATAAACAATCATTTTGACGTAGGCTATTTTTACGTAAGTATGCTAGATTATAAACTTTCCGAGTTAGGTTCATATTTATTGATGTACAAGGTCATTTTGACTGAAGACTTCCACAAGCCTGCATGGATGGTGTAGTGGTTTAAGCGGTCGCAATGCCACTTCCTACTACGACGAGTGCTGTGGGTTCAAACCCCACATGGAACGACACTTAGTGTGATCCACAAATTGTTGTTCTGAGTCTGGGTGTTCTTTGTGTCCGTTTCATGTATGTTTGAAAATTACCCGCGACCCAGGATATATTCCTAAAAAGAAAGAAGAAGAAGAAAGAAGCCACAGGTATCTATCATGTTTAAACGCGACAAATTTCCATTTATATCATTTGGAAATAATTGTCACGACACTATTATGCGGTTTTCATGAAATCCCATACAACTGATCTGTGGAATAAATTTTCATCCGCCGTATTTCTGGAATGAAACGATTTTCAAACGTTTCCGAGGGACCCTTGAGTTTCAGTTATTAATTGGTGACAGTAATCACATATCATCAGATGATGTAAAGGTGGTTTCTTTGTCCTAACGAAAAAGACAGGGACAACTGTTATTAGTATTTTTGTTGGCTAACTAGGAGACCGTATTTTGGGGAGGTCCTATAATAGCTTCCTATGGCGCTGAGTGTTGTGGGTTCGATCCCCAAATGGGACACCACTTTGTGTGATCTACAAATTGTTGTTCTAAGTCTCTGTGTTCTTTGTGTTCTTTTCGTAGGTATAAGTTTGTAAAGCTAATGTGTGAGTTGTCTTTTCTCCTCAAAATTTTTTATAAAAGAGAAGACAAGAATCCTAATGAGTTCTAAGTAACCTATAACTTTAAATTTTACTTTGTGCTACATGTAAAATTACATGACAAAATGTCCCTCAGGTACAATTATTTTGTTCATCGCAACAACTTTTCGTTTAACAAAGCCCATTAAAGAACTTCAACCATTTTGCTGTACTTAATGTTGAACTTTGTGGCCGCATCTGCCTTTGAAGATGAAGTCTCACCCTTTGCTGGTAACTTATAATAAATTTGAACCTATTTATTTAGTTAGGACTCAAAGGTAAAAGTAAAAGTACTGGTATAGGGAGGGAACGAGTAGATGGGATTTTTTAAATAATATTTTTGACACACAACGCCATCTAGTTTCAACCTAAGCAGAGCTTGTATTATGAAAGCTGGATTTATTGATGGAATACTTATATACTATTTTTGTAAACACATAGAAAACACCCAAACTTCGAAAAAATTTAGAAGATCAGTTAAGAGAAGAAGGTCGGACCAAATGTTTGTGTGTTTGGTTCGACCCGGGCATCGGACCCGAGACCTCAATACAGCAGTCGCATACGCTACCACTGCATGACCGAGGCAGACCGAGTTATCTGTTAGTAAATAATGAAGTAGCAGCTGGCCACGGACACCTGCACCTCAAAAGTGAGTGCCTTTATTCCCCAAAATCAACGAAAGAATTTCTTAACACCGTTTCAATACAGAAAGTGGATGGGCACTATCCCATAGCCTAGATATCGTGTTCGAGAGACTCGATCGAAGATCATCACATAAACATCAACAGCCGTTAATAGTCCACTGCTGGACATAGGCCTCTCCTTAGAAAGGAGGTTTTGGCCCACTATACCACGCTGGCCACACGGATTGGTATAGGGTTTGTGTCAAGTTTTCCTTCTTTTTGCAGTGCTGGTGTCCTGCGTTGTTTTACGCTCTTAGTCGGCTCTTACGACACACACGGGATGAATTAGGGTAGTGACATTCCGTATTCTTAATCCGTCACTACACGGACAAGACGAAAGTCATCGTTTTGAGACATTGCGACAAGACCGATGAGACATTCATATAAACTCAATTTCATTCAAATGAAAGTGCATGAATGATGACGTTGAAGTGGATTAGATATTTAAGAAAAGTATAAAGTAGATTTAACTAGCAATATCGGAAATAACCTTTCTCCTACTTAGTTTACTGATTAAATGAAAGACCCAACTTTATTATATTAAAAGGGTTCGCCATTTACAGATCGTTGAAGTTTTTTCATCCCTTTTTCTAACATTTTGAATCGTATTTACGCTTGAACAAAATCGTACACTTTATATTCCTGTGTCGCTAGGGACTTTACTTTAATCCTTTAGGGTATGCAATGTTCCTCTTGTAAACAAATTAATTTGATATTCGGCGTCGTAATATTGCCATTTTGGAAACGAATTCTTGACGTCAGGTTTGTTTAGGGTCTGGGTTTGTATAGCTTTCCAATTGGTGACTTTCCAATGTTGTTTTATTTTCCTAATGTAAACCTTAAATAGAAAATTACAAAATAAACAACGAGGCTGTCTGCGGTTTTCAGAAAGAGACTACTGCGGCCTAGCCCTCCTCACTGCCATGTTGGCAGTAATTATTGCTATGACAGGTGACAGGTTTAGTCCGATTTGGTCGTCCAGGACCTCACGTTCAGATGCCAATGTGGGGCAGTCCTGTATGCTGGGCGAAGTCAGTGCTGGCATTGATGCGTTTTCTTGTGTTCGATCCAATTCAGGTACTCACCGAAGCAATCGTGCCCTGTGTTTACCTGCGTCAGTTGGTAGGTGACGCTACCTCCCTCCCTGCCTCGAAGTATTGGTTACTTCGATTTTAGGCGGCACGGCACTAACAGCGCCTCGCAACTGCGGTTGTTCCAGCTGCTTTCTTATGAGACTAGGCTAAAAAGGTCACACAAATTATCTCACGACTTATTTATTAAAAAGAATAGTTATGAATTTACTTATGAAGCAAACACGTCTGTTTTGTTTTTATAATATTTTTTAGTTTTGTTTTGCTTTACAGTTTGTACTCATTTTTGTATGAAATCGAGAGAGAGAGAATATCCTGTGTCGCGGGGGACTTTACAAACATACATGAAACGGACACAATAAACACCCAAACTCAGAAAAACAATTTGTGGATCACACAAAGTGTCGTCCCATGTGGGGTTTGAACCCACAACACTCGGCGTAGTAGAATGCGGCGTGGTGACCGCTTAAACCACTACGCCAGGTTAAAAACGATTTGTGTATTAACCTTTATAACCTTTGTATGTATTTATTATTTACACATGTATTTAAATGTCTTAGTAGTATGTATATTGTAAGCGAATTTAGTATGTTTATTTTTATTTATATGAATTATTTAACGTATTATAAAGTACAACATAGATACCCTAAATCAGACTAAACAATATCCGTGTAAAGGTCGTCTGTAAGAGATCGCCGTGAGCGATAAGACCGAATATTATAATACCGAAATGTAGATGTCCATCCATGTCTGTACAATATATACTGTCATCATCATCATCATCATCAACAGCCTATACTAGTCCACTGCTGGACATAGGCCTCTCCTTAGAAAGGAGGTTTTGGCCCACTATACCACGCTGGCCAGACGGGTTGGTATAGGGTTTTGCTTCAAGTTTTCCTTCTTTTCTTTATATACTGTAGCGGTGTACAATAAAGATATTTAAATATATCTGCCAGTCTAGATATATAGTTACCCAGATTGCACATCACATCACATCAACAGCCTTTAACAGACCACTGTTGGACATAAGCCTCTCTTTAGAAAGGAGGTTTTGGCCTATTATACCACGCGGGCTAGACGGGTTAGTATAGGGTTTGTGTCAAGTTTTCCTTCTCTCTGCAGTGCTATTGTTCTGTTTTCTAGTTGTCTAGTTGTCTAGTTTTTTTCCCTTAGTCGGCTCTTACGACACCCACGGGATGAATAGGGGTGGTGACACTCTGTATTCTTAATCCGTCACCACGCGGACCCAGATTGCGTTAATGGCATTTCTTCAAAACAAACGAAGTGTAAATCGAAAAACTATTCGTTTCCAATTGTAATGTTTGCAGTCGTTATCGATGGTTGTGATCAAGTTGTAATCCATGTTATGGGATGAGCAATCCATCACGGGCGAGGATTGAGGCGGTGACGTATTGTGCAGATTACTGAAGACACGAGCCTGATTGTTCTTGTGACCCTGGATCTTCTCAATCCTCGATTTACAATTCTACGTTCTATGTTTAGAAATTTTGTATATTCTATTAAAAAAGAACGAAAGATTTTTTTTTTTTAAGAAACAATACCTACATAAATAATATAATTTATCTATACAAATAAATTAAATTGAAGTGTGTGTTTGTAATGGCATAGTAATAAGTTTTTTTCATGGTTATTTGCACGATATCTGTGCCTAAAAACCAGTTTAAATGTTTTTGTCTGTCTGTCTGTTAGTTCCGGGTAATGTTCAAAACGGCTAGACCGATTTTGCTAATATTTTACTACCAGGTCTATATAAGGAGTAAGTTAGGCTATTTTTCCTCTCAGAAAAACCATATAAAATATTACCCGGTCATGGAATCGAACCCGAGGTCTCATGGACTGCAGTTGCGTACCGAACTATAAGTCGTGGATACCAGCTAGTCTAATAAAAAAATATCTCGTGTCACAGTGTTTGCGGTTGCACTCCTTCGAAATGGTTGCACCGATTTTAATGGTTTTTTTTTTGTATATTGGGTAGGTATGGGAATATTTCGTAAAGCGTTTTTCACCATCCCATCCCTACCACGCATTTTTAATTTTTATTTCGGTTATACTTACTTCCGATTTCTTTGATAATTTATATGTCTGAACAACGTTTGCTGGTTCAGCTAGTAGTTTATAAAATACCTCTGCATGAGTTAAAAATGGCTATTAGCTTAGGAAGTAGGTATCGCTAATATTTTGCTTTAGACTATCTGAGCCGATCAACACGGACGGTGAGCTGTCTGGTTATCATAATGAGAGAGAAAAAGAAAAATTATCAAGCAAAAAATAACCAGTAAATATAAAATTATTATGTATGCAATAATTCAATAGCCATTAAAAGTCCACTGCTGGTTATAGGCCTCCCCTTAGAAAGAGGTGTCATCGTGGTGACGACGATAATTACATCACATCAATAGCCTATAATACGAACTGCTGGACATAGGCATCTCCTTAGAAAGCAGGACGATAATTACGATGACAATAAATCATATGAAAACTAATCTCAACATTACCAATGTTGAGTTTAGTTTGTTTTTACCAATGTCAGAAAAGCAAGTCTATGTTTTCTTTTTAGCCACTATAGCAGAAGTTTTACAGTTAAGGCATCAATTCCAATCTTACTTAAAATAAAACTGACCTAAATCCACCTTTGACTCAACTAACGCGATTTACAAGAATTCTTAACATTCTCTTCCCCTTTTTTAAACCTGATCTTATAGGCAATGACTGCACGGATTGCGTAGTGGTTTAAGGGGTCGCCACGCCGCTCACTACTACGCTGAGTGTTGTGGGTCCGAACCCCACATGGAACGACACTTTGCGTGATCCACAAATTGTTGTTCTGGTGTTCTTTATGTCTGTTTTGTGTATGTTTGTAAAGTCCCCAGCGTCTAGGGATATATTCCTAATGCGGGCGGAATACCTATTGAATAATTTGTTACAGTTTTCACCATGGGTAAGTGAGATCAGAGACCCGGTCATGACTCGTTTGGTGCGGAGTTCACATGCGATGCCAAGATCACCAAGGTTAATGTTGGTCTTGGCCAACTCCATTAGCTTGGCTATCGTCGTCTCCGAACACCGTGACAGCCGCAGCTGTAGGAGGCATTGGCACGGCTGTTTTATTTCTGCTGGCGGGTGGCACTGCACTGCTTACTCACTGACGTGGCCAGGGCAGCACGCTGTACTCTCTTCTTTCTCCTCTTGTTCATCTTTTTGGGCGGTGCTGCACCGTTGGCCACCATCGTCATCCCGCTTGGAGACCTCCTTGTCACCTCCTAGGTGCTGTCCCCCTAATTATCCGGACCTTCGCTACGGAGAATACGCGGTCTATTATGGCCGCGTATTGGTCTCGATCAGGTACAGGGTTCGGTTCGGGCTGAATCGCCGGCTTCCTATTATTTTACGGGAACGCGGCCCTGCTACTACCGGTGCCCCCTACGGATCCCGCCCGAATTTGTTGGTCGGGCATAGAACCCCCTCTTATGAAGAGGCCACCTGTCTTTTTAGGCAATCGTTCGGCTTAAGAATTTTGTTGAAAATCAACAATACAAGCTAAACCTAGTAGCAAAAGCTAATAGAATTTACTCGTACTTTGACAACCTACAATTATCGTTTTACATTCTAAGAAACTGGAAACGTATTAAAATGTACGTTGGTTATATGTTTATCATGACAACGTACTGCTGAAAAACTTGGTTGAATGCACGGGCAATATTCACTAATTCATTCGGTTCACTTCGGTTCATTCGTTCACTCGTTTATACGATACTTTATATTTCGCTCGAATAGTCAAACACGTATTTAAAATATACTGGTATGGTAAATTTTAAATTATGTCTCATCAGCCGTAATACGTGTACCGCTGGACATAGGTCGCCTCCACGCGCTACACAAAAACCAAAGACATCATTATGTCTAAAGACATTTTACTCACGTGAGTATTTCGGGGTTGCCTTACTGGTTAAGGACTCAAAAGGAACCTTTTCAGCTATGTCAGGCGTCACTCTGTCGAAATGATCACAAAAGGATGCTTGACTCTAATCGGTCATCGCTGAATTAGACACGCACATCCTAATTATAATAGACTGACCTTTCCTCTACCACTCTTAAAAAGGTTTACGCTGTTACGCTTAAGTTACGCTGGTTTAATAAACGAGAGCCCTGTACGCAGAAGATGGGAGGCTCTAGCCAGAGCGAGAGTAGCATATTGTTAACGAACTGGGCACCAACAACAACAGGGTAGGCAACCCCACCGGTAGTTACGCAGTGGCCCAAGCCAATCTCCAGCGAAAGGAGCTTGCGACGTACGAGCTAATGATAGAGGCTACCAAGCGAAAGCTAGCTTTCGCCCTAGTACAGGAGCCGTATGTGGGTGGGATCCGGAGAATGAAGAGCTACCGAGGAGCGCGAATATACCAATGCGAGGACGATGGAAGCGGGACTGTAAAGGCAGCGGTTGTAGTTTTCGACCCCGACCTTGACGTAATACAGTGCCCAGAACTCACCACAAATAACATCGTGGTGGTGAGGATCCGGTCAAAAGCTTGGGAAATCGCAGTAGTCTCTTTATACTTCGAGCCCGACCAGCCCATAGAGCCGTACTTAGAACATATCAAACGAGTGGTAGTGAAAGCGGGCTCAAAAAGACTGCTCATTGGAGGCGATGCCAATGCAAAGAGCACCTGGTGGGGCAGCACCATAAATGACCACAGGGGTACAGAACTGTCCGGGACCCTGGAAGAGTCGGACCTGCAGGTACTAAACAGGGGCGAAACACCGACCTTCGACACGATACGGGGACAAAGAAGGTACACCAGCCATGTGGACATAACAGCTTGTTCCACAAATCTAGTCGCGCTGATAACAGACTGGCAACTCGACGAAGGAGTAACCACCTCAGACCATAACACCATAGTCTTTAAACTGCACCTACGCAAGGAGAAAGGCATATGCATCCAGCGAACGACTCGCCTATACAACACAAGGAAGGCTAATTGGGAGCGTTTTAGTGATAAACTCAATCAATTACACATAGAAAATAACATCAATCCGGAGAATATAGGCAGAGTCACAGAACCATCGGAGCTGGATGTAATAACAAATACCTTAACAGGCCTTATAACATTAGCGTGCAAGGAGAGTATACCGCAGAAGGCCACTGCATCTAGGCCCTCGACGCCATGGTGGTCAAAAGAGCTGGCACAACTCAAAAAAGAGATGGTCACAAAGAAACGCCGTATCAAACGAGCAGCACCGGATCGGAAAGAGAGAGTTGTCGGTCTTTACCTGCAGGCCAAGCAAAATTATGAGTGCCAAGCCAAGAAAGCCCAGATTGACAGCTGGAAAGCATTCTGTCAAAAACAAGATAGAGAGGGAATGTGGGAAGGCATATACAGAGTTATCGGTAAAACCGCTAAGCGACAGGAAGATCTGCCGCTAAGAAAGGACGGTGAGTACCTAAACCCAAAGGAGTCAGCAGACTTACTAGCCGCAACATTTTTCCCCGAAGACGCCGAAGAGACAGATATCGAACACCATCGCCAAATAAGACGACTAGCACGAGAGATAAACGCCCCGGGTCATGATGACTTCACTGATCCGCAGTTTACCAAATACGAGCTAAGGACCGCGATGGTGAGCTTTAATCCCAAAAAGGCTCCAGGAGCGGACGGCTTTACTGCGGACATCTGTTGTCGAGCGATCTCTTAGGATCTGGACGCGTACCTTGCCCTCTACAAC